GCTTGATATACGGATGGGAAGAAAGCATCAAAATACTTGGGGGACACTTGAGATAGCGAAAGGCTTTCGTCCGCTTCTGGGGGGAGTTGAGGCCCTGCACATTCAGGGAGAGCCAACAGGGAACCACTCGGGCAGGGAATTCCCTAATCAGGAGTTGAATGGGCACCATACAGAGGATACAGCAAGGAGGAGGGGGGGGGAGAAGTGTAGGACCGTGGTCGTCACCCCGGCGTTCCCCAGGCTCAAATAATGTAGGTGCACCGGTGACGAGCAATGTCAGGAATGATGAGGGTAATAAGGCACACATCGACATCTTAGAGTACGCCCTGGAATGGATACCGGGAGGGGGGGCAGGATGGTACTGCCAGAACATAAGCTCCCTGGATCCATTACACGGGTATTGATATAGGGGGTGTGGGGTAAACCTGGAAATAAGTTCTTAACATAACATGTACAAAAGAGGAATCTAATAGTAGGAGAAAGGTAGACCTTACCAGTTGGGTCTTGGAATGCAGTAAACTAGTGTTCGGCACCGAAACATATCTGGGGCCTAGGTGTACCACAGGCCTAGATGTGACCAACAATTACAGGGAACAGTTAGAGCAAAAAGAGACAAGTCCACATTAGATAGCCAACTGTGGGATGGATGCCGGGAGGGAGGTAGCAGAGCACGGAAGGCAAACCGCCTAGAGTGGGCTCCCGGGATCCATCGCACATGTATAAACTCAAAAGTCTGAAAAAACCGTAAGAGAACCTAAAAATAAAAAATCCAACAGTTAAGTGCAAATAACGATTCCAGCCACCATGTGGGGCAAACCATACCAATCCGGTCTAGGCATGGGACAGCATGCAGGCTGCCGAGACGAAGACTCCTTGGAGACTCCTTGGAGAAATATCGGGCAGGGGGGTGCAAGTCAACCGTCGCCATCAGGTTGGAGAGCATCGGCTTTCAGGTGCCGGGGGATCCTGGACGGCGTCAAGGGGGAATGTTGCGCCCTTGGCGGTTCTGAGGTCGAGGGGGAGCGGTGTGGTAGCGCAGCCAGATGAGGAATAACGGAGCGATGGGGGGGTTCCTCCGGTGGGATTGCGAAGCCCAAATCCTGGAAGAGGGAACGGAGATCCGTGGGAGTCGAGGCTTGATAGGGGGTATCTCGGTATGTGAAGAAAACTTTGAAGGGGAATCCCCAGCGGTAGCGAACATTCATGGACTTCAGGCACATCAGGTATGGCTTCAGGGCACGTCGTTTCACCAATGTGGCGGGGGATAGGTCCGAGTAGACCTGGAAGGTGAGGGGAGCTTTGTCGCGGGCCGCCTGTAGGACTCTTTCCTTGGAGCGGAAATGGTGGAACTTGAGGACCACATCCCTGGGAGGGCCATCGGGCCGCGGCTTGGCTAGTGCGTGGTGTACGCGGTCTAACTCTAACGGTCCAGAGGGAGGTCCGGCGCCAATTCCGGGAAGAAGGCCATCATAGAACCTTGCAGGTCGGTGACAGACTCTGGGAGGCCCCGGATGCGGACATTACTACGACGGGCCCTATTTTCAGAGTCCTCCTGCTTGTCCTTGAGCTGCTCGAGTTCGTCTCGAAGAGCCGCCAGCTCCCTTTCATGGTCGTCCAGGACTAGGGTGGCGTCATCAATTCGATGTTCGATGGCGGTGGTCCTGCGGCCTACGTCTCTATTCTCGTGGACAGATCTGTTGATAGCTTACGGGAGGCCGCGGAGATCTCTTCCCGGACAATGCCGCGGAAACCGGTGAGCATCTGCGAGTCACCTTCTGGATCCTGGGAGCGGAGAGCAAGCGAAATGCGGGGCCATGGGTCTGCATGCGACACCGGGTCGTCCCCCACCGAGTGCCGGCTGTCCTCGTCCGGGGTAGAGAGTGGAGCGGGCGCCATTTTGGAAGGCCGCCTTGCGGTCTCCACAGCGCGCTCCGATCTGCGGGTTTGTGGAGCTTTCTCCGACTTCACCATCGGGCTAAAGGGTGCAGGAGATCTACGTCTTGCTCCGGTTAGGCAGGGTTGAGCTGCTGGTGCCGCTGGAAGAACGATGGCAGAGGGAGTTTGCCCGGGTGGCGCGGAGTTGATCCCTGCGCGCATGCGCCTCTCAGCACTCTAATTTCATGACTTGACTGGCCTGCACAGAGTCCTGACCTCAACCGAATAGAACACCTTTGGGATGAATTAGAGACTGCGAGTCAGGCCTTCTCGTCCAACAACAGTACCTGACCTCACAAATGGAGAAATGGTCAAACATTCCCATAGACACACTCCTAAACCTTGTGGACAGCCTTTCCAGAAGAGTTGAAGCTGTTATAGCTGCAAAGGGCGGGCCAACTCAATAATGAAACCCTACAGACTAAGACTGGGATGCCATTAAAGTTCATGTGTGTGTAAAGGCAGGCGTCCCAATACTTTTATCAATATAGTGTATCTCCATCGGTAGCAGATAAATGATGGAGATGTGGGAGTGGAATGGGAACCATGTTACATATATGGTGTCCACGATAGTGATGGGCTGAACACACCGGAGTTCGTTTCTAACTCGAACTTTAGAACATGGAAAAACTCAAACTTACAACTCAATGAAAGTCTATGGGACCAGAAGTCGAAAAATCAAATGTGCCTATTTTTGAAGTCTTATATTCTTATATGACCCAAAGCTTAGTATACCGCGAGCTACAGCTCGCGGAATACTGAGACCGCCGCAGCCGATATGGGTCCCGACATTGCTGTCGAAATCCACCCAGCTGCGTGATTGACAGCTGGCTCTGCCTATCTAGAGGCAGAGCCAGCTGTACCCGCCCCCTCCGCCGTTCGTTCCTCCAGTCAGCGGGAAGGGGGGAATCCCTGCAGGGAGCCATGAGTGACGGTCACAGCTCTCTGCAGGGACAGGATCGAAAAGTGAGCGAGCGACGGTATGTGTTCGCTCTCTTCCCGATTTATTGAGCCGACGTGTGACAGTTTCATTGTCACACGTCGGCACGAACTATGAAGTTGAGTGAAAATCACTCACCTCATAGTTCTCCATAGTACTGCCTGTAAAGTGGCACATCTGTACGATGTATAGAACCTGCTGCAGCAAAACTGACATTTCTAAAGAAAAAAATGGCATTTAAATTGCCGGTAAATTATTTTCCCTTAATCTTGTAAACAACTGGTCGATGAGGCAGCCTGTATGAAGAGGCCACATTTTAGGACACTCGGAACACGGTTAGAGATTTTTTGGATAAATGCTGGTGCCTCTTTTGCAGACATTGGCTGAAATTAACAACAGGTGCTTTAAAATTGGGCCCTTACTGTTGGCGGTGCTTTCACACCATAACCCTTCAGAGTTATTCTTGACGAGTGCAGAATTAGACCCTTCTCTAAAAATTCAAATTATATATACCTGTCACACAGGTGTGGGAAAAAATTGGCCTTTGGTGTTGGTGCCTCCACACTGTAACCCCTCACAGTTACTCTTGATGGGCGCAGGAATGGGCGCTGCCATAAAAAAATCAAATTATATGCACCTACCACATGCCTGTCTCCTTGTTGGCCTTTCAGACATGCTGTTGGGCTTATTATAAAATTTTATTAGAGAATGTGGGATCAGAAATCGTTGCTTGGGTGCAATACTTTATTGAATGTGGTGCTTGGTGCACTATAAACTGTTGTACAATGGCTTACTGTATTATGAAAGAAAAAAAACGGGAAACCCCAATGACGCAGCAAAAGAACCTGATGCTGAAAAAAAAGTAAAAATATTTTTTTTTAAAAAGGGAACACAGGTGACGCAGCAGGGGGGACAGCAATGAGGCAACAAAAGAACCTGCTGCTGGCAAAAAAAGTAAAAATAGAAAACGGGAACACTGGTAACGCAGAAGGAGGAACACCAGTGACACCACTCACACACACACAAAAAAAAGAAATGACAGTGAATATACAGCACAGACAATAATATTATATACAGTACATAGTACATCAGGGCTCTCGCAAGGCACTGCGCGTTGCGCAGTGGCTTGTGGGGGCGCTTGGCGGGCGAGGAGCCCGCCGAACGCCCTGATAGTTCATGCCAATTTTCCAATATTGTGCCAATATGAAGGCAACACCCTGATAGTTCATAGTACCAATGTTCAACTCTAACATAGAGCCCACCTCTAGTCCACGACAAGATAGATAGATTTATTTATTTGTCACATACATAATCGTACAAGTATGATATGCAGTGAAATGCTTACACGACTGCAAGAAGGAGAGGGAGAAGTACAAGTAGAGAGAAGAATCAATAATATTAAACTTTTACATCACAAAATAAAATATAAATGTTAAAATTTAAATATACTTGCAATTGATCTTTGGGGTGAGCAGGCACCTTACAGGTGTGGACTGGCCTGAGACCCCAGAGGTTGCATTATTGTCTGTTTACCCGGGCCCAATTTAAAACACATAAAAAAGATTTAATATGTTGTCTGATGGCGGCAGGTATAGCAGTGATCTCCAGATACTGGAGGACTGATCAAGTTTCCGACATTATGGAGTGGACCAGGGAGAGGAATCTCTTTATGAGAATGGAAAAACTAATGCCACGTACATATGATAGACATACAGATTTCTTGAAAGTATGGTATAGATGAATTTTGAGTATATGTTGGGAGATAAGACATAACTGGTAATTGAAGGCTCTGCATCGAATTATATAAAATATAAAATAAGAGGGGGGAATGTATTTCATTTTTCCCCCCCCCCGTTGTCTGGGCTTTGAAGGATGTGTGATTTGGAGGGTTGGAATAAGTTAAGCAATAACATAGGAAAATTTTAAATTGCACGTAGAGCTGAGCCCTGATTGTTAGAGTTAATGGCGGTTTGGATTAGAGAAGTAAAGTACTGTATATGCAATTGGGGACATGTTTCTTTGGAGTACAGAAGAATTGTATTGACTATAAAAGTGCTGGTGAATTACCGTATATACTCGAGTATAAGCCGTCCCGAATATAAGCCGAGGTACCTAATTTTACCACAAAAAACTGGGAAAAAGTATTGACTCGAATATAAGCCGAGGGTGGGAAATGAGGCAGCTACTGGTAGATACCAATAAAATTACATTAATATTTATTTAAAAGAAAAATAACCTAGCTCTGTAAGTGGAAAAGGGGGTACAGGGCTACATATACGCTGAAAATCTTGGCTTATACTCGAGTATATACAGTACTTTTTCCTATATCCCTTTTTCTGTATTTTTTTGTTTTATTTTGTTTGCTCTTCCGTTTCTTTATTTTCCCTGTTGGTGTATGTATAAAAACGGAGGCACAATCTACAGAAAAACATTTATAGGTAGTAATATTAGAGATTCTTTATCCAGGAAATATCTGATTTACCTCAGGGAATTAGGAAGGATTTATTACCCTGTTTGAGGAAATTGGACAATGCTTTAGAGTTTTTTTGGCTTCATATAGATCAACTAGAATTGTGTTTATAGAGGCTTTCTATTTTTGGCTTTTTTTTTTTTTTAGCTATTGGATAAACTCTATGGACTTGTGTAATTTTTTCCACCTGGCTAACTGTAACTATGCTTTTGGGAGAGACTGGCCAAAATTAAAGATGAGATTCATTGATGAGAATTTCATTATACAGAAAGGACATATGGCAGGATTATGTAACTTTCAGAATACAAATCTAAATATTTTTTTAAACATACTAATAGGATCATGTGTATATACCCCGAGACAACATCATCTTATATTAGTGTATAACACATCAGAGGTCATCATGATTGGGTAGTCGGGTATCTTAGTGAAGATTCTTGTCAATTAAGATTAAAGGAAAGGGTTATGTATAAGAATTAGTCAATAAAAACAAATACAAATAATACAACTATTTATTAATAGTTATAGTAGTATTAAAATAGATCAGGAGGGATGCTGATGCAAGAAAAGAAGAAGAGCCCATAAGTGTGGGGTCAC